AGTGTGGCACTGTGTATACCCACGCCTTCCCAGCCTGCCTGACCCCAAACTACTGCCCAAATCTGAATGCTGTGAACACTTCCATGCCATCATAAGCACTGGTAGCTTCCAGCACTCACTGCCTGGAGTTACCCTCCAAGCCCAGGGTGGTTATAGTCAATAACACTCCTGAGTGCATGCTTCGTGCTTCTCAGTCTTGGAGATAGATATATATATGGAGATATCTATCTTTACAGTCATGTGTAATGTATAATGACATTTCAGTCAAAGATGAAGCTATAATAGGCTATGCCACATAGCTTAGATGTGTAGTAGGCTATACAATCTAGGTTTGTGTACGTACACACTATGATGTTCCCACAATGGCGAAATTGCCTAACAACGTGTTTCTCAGGATGTATCCCTGTCATTAAGCAACACATGACTGTACACACACACACACACACACACACACACACACACACACACACGTCACTGGAAACAATGAGACTTGTGTCAGAGTGTATAGTGAACTACATATACATTTAAAGGGAGGACATCCCTTTCTGCTCATTGAGTTATTAGCCCAGAGAAAAATTCTCATTTGTCATTTTGATTCATTTGATTTACCCCCAGTCACCACCATTAGATGACTTGGGGCTTTTCCAATTTTATAAAGGGAAAGGATGAATTAAACAAGGTAAGAATGTTTAAGATAAAGTCCCCAGAGATCAGTGTTATTCATTTGTGAATTAAACATTTGGGACCTAAAGTCATCACATTAATGTTCAAATAGACAGAGTTTACTAATTATTCAGTAAGGACTAAATAACCAGGAGGCTTCTCTGGCATTCCTACCCCTCCAGCTGTTAGCAGTGGCCATTAGTTAATAACAACAAGTAACAATTATCCTCCTCTTTCTAGTGGGCAAAGCGCATTCAAGTACATAGTCTCTTATCTCATAATAACAATTCTGTGAGAAGAGTACTGTCATTTCCAGCTTGTGGATGAGTAAGCTGGGGCTGGGACAGGCATCCGACGTCGCCTCAAACTGCTCAGAGCAGCCCTGGTGGCGGTGGCAGTGGCGGGCCCACCCTGCTCCTCCCACACCAGATCTCCTCCTCCGCCCCCTCCCCTTTCTCTACTCTTCGCTTTCCTGTTCCTCCTCTTTTTATAAATAACAAAGGTCTCAGGCTGTTTCCACATCTTTCCACAGGGATACTTGCTTATTTGGAGCGATGTCTTTGACACACAGGGCAGGAGTGAGCTTTTAAAGCTAACCTGTGGGTTTGAGCTGTTCAAGCTGTCCCCTCTGTGAAATTTCTTTAGGAAATGACAGGTCACTGTCCTGCCGGAAGACTGCAGTCCCTCCCCACGTTGCCAGGGGGTGTTCCCACTGTTAGTTGCCCTAATGCGTCCGCGTTTGGTGTGGGGGAGGGGAGGGTGAGCGACCTCTGCAAAACTTCTCAGTGAACTAGGAACAATCAGAAGTCAAACCTCAAATCAAAGTTTTCCAAACTCTTGTTCTATAGGACACAGTTCATTTTGAATTCTAGATTTTCAACAGCTTCTGTAAGATTTTTAATTCATATGCACATCAAATAATTAATTCTATAAGGACAGGAATAAGGCAGTTGGACACCAGTGCCAGCTCTACATCTCCTAACTAGCTGGGTGAACCTGAGGAAGTCATATGAATTTCCTGGAACCAGGAGTTAAATTAGATATGGGGGGTCCCTTCAAGATTCAATAATCCATGATTCTAAGGATTATAATTTCCCTTGTAACTTGATAACCTTCTTAAAAGCAGGACCCATGCATAGAATCTGACACTGGGATATTGTCTTTGGATGGCCCAGGGAGGGCAGCAGGGGGTGGACGTGCAGAGGCAGCAGAACAGAACATGCCCACAAAACAGGCCCGTGGGACACCCAAGAAGTAGAGGTTGCGCTGAAGAGCAGCCTGCAGCATGAGCAGGTCACCTGAGGCTCTTGACTCAGGTAGCACTAGGTGGGTGGGAGGAGAAGGGAGTTGACACCTGGTGCAAGATCTGCCTCCAGGTTTATCAGGGCACTGGAGACCTACTGTCCAAGCGTGGCCCATTATCCAGCAGCTTCGGTCATCAGCCAGTAAATGCCACAAGGTCTAAGATGAGGGAGCAGGTGCCAGTCAGTCAATGGGTGGAGAAGTGTGGCAGGTGCATATCACCTGAGTTCAGCCTATGTAAAGCAGGCCCTGGGCACCAGGGGTGTTCAGGGTCCTCATCCTAGGGGCCAGGGGCTGGGTGGGGAGTCAGTCAGATCAAGGAGCAGGGACTAAGCTCTCCCCAAGCAGAGGCCTGGCAGCTCAGAGGTGCCTCACTCGCAAGTGGCGAAGGAGTCCTGGGAAGCCATGCAGGTACCTGGCAGCTGCCCCAGGCCTGACCTCAGTAAAAGGTCCTTGTGGATGGGAGACTGCGCAGCTGTGGGGCTCCCTGCTTCAGCTGGGGCTGGCTCCAGAGCGGGGACAGGCCTGAGCCCAAAAGAGAGTGGTATCCCCAGGCCCAGTCCAGAGGATCCAGGAGGGCTGAGGCCAAGGAAAGGCTGCAAGCACAGCTGGGGAACAGCCGGTTCTCCCCAACTGAGTGTGGCAGCCCCTCCAAGTCCTTCAGTGCTCCCCCAGTCCCAGCTGCACCAAGCCAGGCATTCACTGGCCAAGGCAAAGAAATTGCTCGTCTTACTACTTCCTCACCATAACCTCAGGACTGCAGCTAAAGCCCAGAATTCTAAATAAAGGATTTCCAAACGGTGGGTGTCTCTAGTTAACGCTAAGAATCTTGTAAATATTTTAAGTAGTTTTCATTTGAAAAATAAGCAAATAAGCAAGTTTGCACTAGTTTTCATTTGAAAAATAAGCAAATAAGCAAGTTTGCTGGTGACAGGAAGATTTAGAATCATCTCTCCATATCTATACCCATGGCAATCGTCAGGCAGCACAACGAGTACTTATGTTAAAATGTCCTTTGTATGGGTGGAAAAGTTAACGTTGTCTGGTCTGAGCATGTCAGCATTGGCTTTATGAACTTATTTTTGTGTTCAAATCTGAGCAAAATGTTTTTGGCTGTGCTCAGTATGTATCCATACACAGAGGCCCTCAGCTGAGCTGTGGAATTTATCTGCTTACCAACCCTTTATTTAATTTCTATTCTTCCACAAGATTATAGTAGAAGTCTGTTTTCTTTAATAGGATTTTCCATAGCTACATAGTCATTTTGTTTTTGTAATCACTGCTCTGCTTTCCATCCTTTCTGTTTTAGTTATTTACTTGACTTCTAAATTAGTCTGTAAGATTCAATATATACAAAGAGAACTTTTGTAATGCACATTTCTTAATGTCCTGAGGTTGGAGGTCAGCAGAAGAGTGGAAATGTTAAGGAAGGTGTGGTGCAGGCTGAACAGAGCTCTCCCAGCACGGCTCACCGCCACTTGGGTGACAGTCCCAGGCACCACCCCCAGGTGATCAGGGTTTCTGGGGCTTCCTCTCAGGCACCTGGGGTTCCTCTCCCAGAGGGAACTTCTGCCATCCAGCCTGGCCCCAGGCAGCTGCTCTTATGCAGAAAAAACTTTAGTGCTGCCTGTAGTGATCTTAGGATCTAAACTGTCCCCAGGGAGGTTAAAGGAATTCTCATCTCATTGTTCACTGGACACAGATTTCTGTGTAGGTGAGCCACTGACGCCAGCCTTCAGTTTCATTTCCTGGTGCTTCTGGCCCTGGCCCTGGTGAAACTTTCTTGATGTCTTCTGGTTAATCACCAGAACTAAGATCTTTTCCACCCAGGCCCCACTGCAGTCACTTCCTACACAGACACCAGAATTGCCACTCAGCAGCTCAGCTGAGCTATGGCTGTGGAACTTCCCCAGGTCAGTCACCCTTCCTCAGGTCTGTATTTTGGACAGAGTCCTGAGGGAATTACTCTGTGCAACCCCATCCTGTCACCAGTCTACCTGAAAAGCACATTGTTCACAGCATTACTCTGGCCTCTCTAGTCTTCCAGAAACATCATTAGTGCAAGCATTAGGTTAGCAGTTTCATTCTAAATCCTCCAATGACTCCTAAAGCCTGCTGAGCGGAGTCTGAATGCAGCCCACTTTTTCCACCTTCCAAGCCTGCACTTCAGCCCATGACGCTGCCCAAATACACCCCGCAGTTTGTTACCTCCACACCTTGATCCATGCTCTTCCCTCTGCGTGACCATCACATCCCTCCCCTCACCCACGCATCCTACTACTCTTCAAGACCCAGGTCAGATGTCACCAGTTCCCATGATCTGTTGTCCCCCGGCCCTTATCTGTAACATCCTGCCTCTCAAAATATCTTTTTTTTTTTTTTTTTTTTTTTTTGG